ACTCATTTCCCATCCATCTACGTGTCCATCCACCAGTCCAGTTGACAAGCGTGACTGAGCTCCAACCGTATACCAGGCATGGTGGGAGCACCAGGGCATTGCAGGAGACAGAGCCCTGCCTACCTGGCTTTCATGGGGTTCCACTTGTAGCCGTGAGGCGTCAGGCTGGAAACAGATGATGTGCCAGATGGAGCAAGGAGCAGGGGAGACAGAAATGGTCCAGCTGGGGATCAGGGAAGTGGGATGGCTGATGAGCCGTAGATGGAGGCTCTCCCAGCGTGACCTGGCAGGCACTGCCCCTTCATCTACAGAGCGGGGTTCCCTCTCTCACAGGGTGGCTAGAGGGCTCGTCGGGTAAATCCACATTCTTGCCCAGGGCCGGCGCTGAAGAGCCCCTGTCTTGCTCTTTTTTTTTTTTTTTTTTTTGAGACGGAGTTTCACTCTTGTTACCCAGGCTGGAGTGCAATGGCGTGATCTCGGCTCACCGCAACCTCTGTCTCCTGGGTTCAGGCAATTCTCCTACCTCAGCCTCTTGAGTAGCTGGGATTACAGGCACGCGCCACCATGCCCAGCTAATTTTTTTGTAGTTTTTTAGTAGAGACGGGGTTTCACCATGTTGACCAGGATGGTCTCGATCTCTTGACCTCGTGATCCACCCGCCTCGGCCTCCCAAAGTGCTGGGATTACAGGCTTGAGCCACCGCGCCCAGCTTGTCTTGCTCTTCTTGCTGTTGGGCTCCATGTCCATCCTCCCAGCTCAGGCAGAGCCTTGGCGAGCTATCTCAGCCCTCTGTGCCTCAGTCTCCCCATCTGCGTGATGGTCATGATCAGGGGCCCATCCCCCTGGGGCTGGGGAGAGGCTGACCAGCACCTGTGTGCTGGCCGAGGAATGTCTCCTTTGGCCAAGCCTAGTGTCCCCCCCTTGTTTACTGTGTAACTTTGGGCCAGTGTCGGAACTTCTCTGTGCCTCAGCTTCCCTGTCTGTAAGATGGGATGGTAGCAATGCCCCTTTAGAGACTGCCTGCTAAAAGGTGAGCCAGGAGCCAAGACTGCACATACCAGGTGCCCCCTCGGCTGGTATATTCTGGTGCGGATGCCCCAGCATTGTCATCTGAACGTGAGCCAGGATGGGAGGGGGAGGGGTGCTGTGGAGGCAGAGAGCTTGCGCTGGTCAGGGAGGTGGGGTCTGAACACCCCCTTGGCTTCTGGGCCTTTGTGGGGATGGTGGGGCTTCCTTCTTGTCGGCCTTGAGAAGTGGCTGAGTTGGGCAGGTCCAGGGTGAGGGGGTGCTGAGCATAGCATCTTCTTGCCTGTTGGCTGCAGTCAGAGCCCCACACATCCTAGACTCCCAGTGGCATTGGTCAGAGGCTGGGTTTAGGGCAGGAGATCACAGCCCGGCCTTGAGGGCACTGGGCTTGTGGTGACCCCTGAGGAGCGGGTGAGGGGTGGCCACACGCATCCGTCATCTGCCCACCCATGCCTCCAGCCCCCTTCCTCACCTAGACCACCCCCATGCTCCTGAGATGACAGCTTGCAAACCACTGCACCTCTATCTAGCGCCTGTCTTCTGGAAGCTTTAAGCAAGGCTGAGGGCAGGGGAGGCCACGTGGCTCACCCTGGCTTCATGGTGGGGTTGGTGGGTGAGCTGCTGGCAGGGTGGGGTGGGCGGGCCTCAGCCTTCTGCTCCCAGCTCTGTGGGGTTCACCTCTCAACCTGCACAGCCTGAGAGGACAGTGTCTCCTCCCACCTCACTGTGTCCTTGAGGTCATTGGTGGCGGTCCTTTCCAATCGATCCTCCATCCCGGAGCCTGCCTGCCTGCCCTCCCTGAACTCCTGGTGTGACTTGGGCAGCCCGCTGCCCTCTCTGAGCCTTGGCCTCCCTGGGGGTTGTCGGGGGCTCTCTGGGGGTGCCAGCCATGGGTGCAGTCTGGTGGTACAGACGCCTCCTGCCAGGCACCCCCAGATGCCCTGTCACCTGTCATTCTGTCCCCACCCAGCAGGCAGGCACAGACAGGCCGAAGCCAAAGACAGACAGGTAGGGAATGGCTCCGGTTTGGGGGGCTGGGAGGAAGGGGAAGCTGAGGGCTTTTTCGCAGGGGTCAGAGGGCATCTGTGCAGGACGCTGTGTGAGTTGCGCCAGCTCACGGTGGGTGTCTCCCTCAGTAGCACGGGGCTCTTGGAGGCGACTTGAGGGTGGCTGGGTGGGGAGGCTGCGAGGTTACCATCTGGCCTGCCCAGCACACCTGCCTTCCCAACACTGGAGGAGGAGAGGGTCCTGCTTGACATGATTCATGAGGATGTCGGAGGAAACCAGCATGGCGAGCAGGAGACAGGCAGCTGCACCCTGGCGGCCCCTGCGCCGCAGTCTGTCTCCTTGGCTCTGGGTCTCTGTCTCCTTGGCTCTGGGTCTCTGGCAACATGTCTCTGGGTCTCTGTCTCCCTGTCTCTGGGTCTCTGGCAACATGTCTCTGGGTCTCTGTCTCCCTGTCTCTTGGTCTCTGTCCCTCCATCTCTGGGTCTCTGTCTCCCTGGCTCTGGGTCTCTGTCCCTCCATCTCTGGGTCTCTGTCTCCCTGTCTCTGGGTCTCTGTCCCTCTGTCTCTGGGTCTCTGTCCCTCTGTGAGTCTCTGTCTCCCTATCTGGGTCTCTGTTCCTCTGTCTCTGGATCTGTGTCTCCCTGTCTCTGTCTCTGTGTCTGTGTCTCCCTGTCTCTGTCTCCCTCTGTCTCTGGGTCTGTGTCTCCCTGTCTCTGTCTCCCTCTGTCTCTGGCTGGCTGTCTCCCTGTCTCTGAGTCTCTGAGGCTCTGTCTCTGGGTCTCTGTCTCCCTGTCTCTGAGTCTCTGTCCCTCTGTTTCTAGCTCTGTCTTCCTGTCTCTGTCTCTGTGTCTATCTCCAGCTGTGTGTCTCTGTCCCTCTGTATTAGTGTCTCTGTCACCCTATTTCTGGGTTTCTATCTCCCTGTCCCTGGGTCTCTGTTCCTCTCTCTCTGGGTCTGTGTCTCCCTGTCTCTGTCTCCCTCTGTCTCTGGGTCTCTGTCTCCCTGTCTTCGGGTCACTGTCTCCCTCTGTCTCTGGGTCTCTGTCTCCCTGTCTCTGAGTCTCTGTGTCTCCATCTCTGGGCCTCTGTTCCTATGTTTCTAGCTCTGTCTTCCTGCCTTCGTGTCTTTGTCTCTGTGTCTGTGTCTATCTCCATCTGTGTGTCTCTGTCTGTCTGTCTCTGGGTCTCTGTCTCCCCATCCCTGTCCCTCTGTCCCAGTCTCTGGGTCTGTCAGTGGCTGGGCATCCTGGCCTGTGGGACACTGCAGTGGGGCCCTGCACCCGCTCCTGGGCTCTCCCGCTTGTCCATCCAGAAGCCATTATCTTTTCTGCACTCCCACCAGAGCCCAGGGAGGCAGAGAACAGCAGGTGCCTTGGAAGGGGCGGCCCCTTATCAGAAGGGAGGACCCTGGGAAGTAGCCTTCGGCAGCCTGGGGGAGAAGCAGGGTGGCCAGGCCTCAGGGGTGTCTGAGCTGTCCCACGGGAAAGCTCGCTGATGTGAGTGTGGGGGCCGGAGCGTGTGAGGGCCAGCATGAGGTGCCAGAACCCATCCTGTGGGCTGGGAGCACAGTCCCCAGTGCTGTGAAACGCTGTGGTCACCCTGGCAACAGTGCTGGGGGAGCGGCTTCTGTGGACCAGGTGGGACCCTGCCTCTCTGCACCTTTTACCCTCAAGGCAGGTGCCCAAGAGCCAGCTGACTGCAGCTGCTGGGGGTGGGGCAGGGGCGCTGGGCCTCGGCGTTCCCATCTTGGAGAGGGATACTGGGCGCGTGACCTGGGCTGCAGGTGAAGACCTGTGCCTGCTTGGTGGGGTCACGGTGGGAAGGGTCATGAGAGAAGGTGTCAGTGTGGTTGGAGAGCAGGGTGGTGGCTGTGAGGCTGAGATGCTAGTGGTGGGACACCAGGGCCCCCACAGCTCTGGCGCCAGAGCCCCTCACCACCCCCACACCACCGGGTCGCTGTGACCCCACCCCTGCCTCCACCTCTGCCTCCCCTCCTTTGTCCGGCTCTCTGTCCCTCTCCCTCTCTCTCTCGGTGTGTCTCCCTCATTCCCTGGGTCTCTGTCTCCCTGTCTCTGGGTCTCTGTCTCCCTGTCTCTGGGTCTCTGTCTCCCTGTCTCTCTGGGTCTCTGTCTCCCTGTCTCTCTGGGTCTCTGTCTCCCTCTCTCTGGATCTCTGTCTCCCTGTCTCTGGGTCTCTGTCTCCCTGTCTCTGGATCTCTGTCTCCCTCTCGCTCTGGGTCTCTGTCTCCTTGTCTCTGGATCTCTGTCTCCCCCTCTTGCTGAGTCTCTATCTCCCCCCTCCCTCTCCCTGGGCCTCTGTCTCTCTGGGTCTCTGCATCCCTGTCTCTGGGTCTCTGTCCCCCCTCTCTGGGTCCCTGTCCCCCTCTATCTGGGTCTCTTTCCCCTTCTCTCTGGGTCCAGTTTTCTCTGTCTGTTCCTGGCTCCCCTCTGGGTCTACTTCGCTCTCTCTAAGTCTGTCTCCCCGAGCCTCTGCCCCGCTCTCTGGGTCTCAGATAAAGCTCTCAGGATGCTTGTGGTCCAGTTGCTGGCCTGGGACTGGCCGGGACAGAGGCTGGAGGGTGGGCAGTGGCTTCTCCGCCGGCCCTGCCGGCCACTGCAGTCCAGCCTCTTCCCCACCCATGCACCGGGACCCTGGGGCGGCATCCCTTCGGCCGGGGCGCGAGCCAACCAGCTGTGCTGCGCTGCTGTGCTCCATCGAGCCACATGGACAATAAAACCAAAATTGGCTTTGAAAGTGGAAGTGCTCTCCGCTTTGAGGGGAAGTGAGGGCCTGCGCGTCAGAGCCGCCTGTGAGGGCAATGCCGGCAGGCTCCGTTCTGGCCCACGCGCAGCGCTCCGTGCGGGGGTGGGAAAGGGTTTTACAAAACCCCAAAGAAATGTTTCCATGAAATTCTTTCTTGTTCTTGCCTTTTTTTTTCTTTTTTGGACATTCCAATGAAAAGAGCCGTTCTGGGCCTTTGGATCGCTCCTCGTGGGTTGGCGAGCTGACCGTGGGGATGCGGCCAGCCTGGGGCCAGAGAACAGCGCCCGCCCTGACAGGTGTGTGCCCCTCACTGTTGGCTCCCGAGGCAGCCCCCACCTCCCCTGCTCCTGATCCCCCACGAGGCTCCATCACTCAGGTGCCTGGCCACCGCCCCTGTGACTCTGAGCTTCCTGTGACCTCCCCCATGAGGCTGTCCTGCCTCGTGGGTTCCCCCAGAGTAGACTCTCAGGCAAGGGTTCGAGGGCCCCACGCAGGACAATGTGGGGAGGGACGGCGCCTACACGGGGGTGTCAGCCGCAAGCAGGTGGTCCCGGGGGCAACCCTTAGAGATGTGGGGAATCTCATAACAGCCGGTCCACCTGGGGGAGTTCCCCCCACTCAGGCTACCCGGATGCCAGCCCCCGCGTGTCCCTGCACAGGGACATCTGAGAGAAGCTGGGGCGGTGTCGCCAGGGCAGACCTGGGCGTGTCCTCGGGTCCAGCACGGCCTGGGCCTGGCTGGGATGCCCAATGTCATTGCTGGGGAGATACAGCGGCAAGGGGGTGTCAGAATGGCCCCCAGCCCGGGCCAGGCCCGCAGCGGGGGCGTGTGGCCACCCAGAGGCCAGATTCCGGCAGAGGGTGCAGCCAGGGCAGGCGGCGATGGCCTCTCGAGACGGCCCTGGCCGGGGCTGCTGACGCACTGGCTCCGATGACTCACGTGCGGGTGACCGTGACTCGAGTGGCCGTCTGTAGACTCGGACAGGCTCAGGGCCACCGCCTTCCTGGGGCCTGTGGCCCCGCCGCGCCGGCCGCCCCCTGTCTGGGCTGGCCTGAGTAATGGGTCCTTCCCCTCCTCCCCATGGCCGGCTGGAGAGGACCTTAGTCATCGGCCCTGGCCCCGGCCCTCCCTCCCTCCTCTGCCTGCCCACCTCCGCCCAGGCTGCGTCTCGCTTCTCCATCCAGGCTGGGGGACTTCAGCCCCTGCTGGCCTCCTCCCTCCCTGAGTTCCCCGGGAGGGGCTGCAGCAGGGTGGGTTTGACTTCTCAGGGTCGGCAGTACAGCGGGTGAGGGTGACAGAGGGGCTTCAGGGACAGCTGTCCCATCCCTAAGACGAGATGAAGGAAACAGCTGTGTGGAGCATGTCAGGCATCACTGGGACACCAGGAGGAGACCCGGGCAGGACATGCTGCTTCCCCGCCCGTGGGTCCAACATGGGCCCTGTGCCCTGTGACCAGATGTGGATGAGCCTCACCTGGCATTCTGGGCCTGGGGTGTCCTAACTTCCAGATGGGAGCATCAGAATTCTCCGTGTGTAGTCGTCACATGCTAGTGGCAGCCTGGGTCCCAGGGCTCTGCGTTTGCTCATTTGTTCATCTCATCCTCCAGTGGCCCTGGGGCTGGGGGAGCTGGGCAGTCATTTGCCCCTGCTTTGTAGCTGAGGCCTGGTGGTTGAGTGACTGCTGAGGTCCCAGCTAACCAGAGCTCGCTTGGCCCAGGCTGCTGGCCCCTGATGCCTGCTCTGGGTTGCCCTGCCAGCCAGCTGAACTGATCCTGCCTTCTGGGTTCCGGGCACCCTCCACTTGCTGGGGAACCCAGAGATCCCATGCTTGGAACCCTGGTCACCTCCCTGGTTTCCTGTTCCTCGGTCATCAGAACAGCAGGGGGTGGGGCAGGGGCCCCTCTCCTCCCCAGAGGGAAGGTCCCCTCTATCCAGCTGCTCAGTTCTGCAGATACGTCCTGTGCACTCATGGGCAGATGACACATTGAGTGCAAAGAGCATCCCCCTGTGCGCGCTCTGCTCTTCCTTCCTCCTGCAGCCATAATGCCATCCCCTAGATGCAGCATCCACCCCGGGATGCGTCAGGATCCGCCTTCTCACCCAGCTGTAGGGCAGTCCTCTCCCGGAAGGTGCTGTGATTCCACGTACCTCCCCTAAGGATGGTTAGCTTGTTTCTCGTCTGTGGCCCCTAGAGACAGTATTTGGGTACATTTCAGAAATAGAGTTGTTGGGTAAAGGACATGAGCCTTTAGAGTATTGCTGGGTCTACCCAGCTGCCTTCCTGGGGGTCATCTTGCTTCATAAGCCCCCCGAGAGTGTGCTTCCCTGACTGTGAGTGAGGCTGACTCTTAGGTCCTTCCAGCCAGGTCTGCTTGCTTTCCTGGGAACCATCAGCTCACATCATTTGTGTATCTTTCGGTCTCACTCTGTCGCCCAGACTGGAGTGCAGTGGCATAAACACAGCTCACTGCAGCCTCCACCTCCTGAGTTCAAGTGATCCTCCCACCTCAACCTTCCAAGTAGCTGGGACCACAGGTGCATGGCAGCATGCCTGGCTAATTTGTATTGATTTCTTGATGCTCTTTATATATGGAGGTGCATGATAAATCCACTTCTAAGGACTGAGTGGCCCCATGATGAAATTACCCCAGTTTAATGTGTTTCTCCTGGTGAAAATGTACACAGGTACACCTGCCCCCAAGGGCTTTAGAGGAGGCAGAGAAGTCCTCCCATCCCTCCACACAAATCTTGAACTTCGAAGGAAAAACCAGACCAAAAAAATGGCAAAGGTTGGCAAGGCCCATGCGTACTTCTGGGACACAAATTGTCCACAGAAAGGCTGGCAGGGGTCACCTGGAGCCCGATGGCACCCGACCCTTTTACAGCGGCAACACAAAGCTGGTTCTAGGTGATCTGACCCCTTTTGGTCCCTGTTTCCTGGACTAAGTGCCCATGAGGACAGGGCCTACTTTGTCAAGTTCACACTGCGTCCCTGCACGCATGGGGAGGGAGGAGGTCTTGGCAAAGGCAGGGAGGCAAGCTGGGGACAAGGAGCGATGTGGACCCCTTAAGGGCCCTCGGAGACACATGCAGGATGCGGCTTTGGCCCCAGGCAGCCTGGGTGTCGGTGAGAGGGCACGGCATCATTGGAAGCAACGAGGCACTGCCCCTCGAGATGTCTGGGCAAGTGCCAGACCCTGTGGGGAGCTGGACAGGGGAGCTGGACAGGGGAGCAGCCCGTGTGCCTGTGACATACTCCTCACGAGCCTCAGAACTGTGGATCTGTCACGAGTCTTGGGGAAAAAAGAGCCGAGGCTTGGCTCACAGCAGCGGCCTGGGCAAGTGCAATTGGGGCGAATGTGTGGGAAAGGGAAGAAGGGAGGAGTGGAGGTGGGTGTCCCCTCCACCTGGCAGGGGAAAGGCCATGGGGATAGCCAGAGTCTCAGGGTGCACCTGGACCCCTTTCCTTCCTTCCCCTCCTCAGCTTTCAGAAGGCTGCATCCCCACCCTCCCAGGCAAACCCCAGGTCCGGCCTTCGGCACCCCCGGCAGCATGGCCAGCCAGCCCTGATGACTGTAGTATTAGGCTCCGAGTAGCCTATGTCCTGCCTCTCCAGGGGCTCAAAGGCTTTCCACTGAGCGCAGGTCCCTCACCGGGTCCTCCACGCCGTGTCCTCATCCTCCAGGAAGTGGAGCACCTTGAAGGCAGGGCTGGGGCTTGGGCAACTTGCTCTGCCTGTGGTGCCTTGCAGGGCTGTGGTCGGTGCCTGGTGCTGCAGCCCCTCTGCCCATCAGTTTGTCTTGGTGACCCACCCTTTCCCAAGGGTCTCTGGAAGGGTGGCCTGCGGGAGGTCAAGGCCTCTGGTGCAGATGCAGGGCTGAGCGAGTGCCCACTGTGTGCCCTGGGTTTGACGTCAGCTCTTTAATGTCCACGGTGGTTTTGGGGCTGGCCAGCGGTGGGGCCGAGGAGCCTTCCATCTCCTCCTGCTTTCTTGGAAGGATCAGTGCCTGCATTCCTGTCCCTCACTTACAGGCAGGCGTGGGTCCCAGAATGGGAGAGCAAATTCCAGAGGGCAGAGGCCACGAGGACAGAGCAGGGTGCTGGGGAGGGTGGCCTCAGCCCGGTGGGGGTGGGGATGGAGGTCCTGGAGGGGACGGACCCTGGAGGTGGCAACAGGGTCCGCCCTGTTTGTGTTCTGAGGAAGAGGTGGTGTATCACCGGCTCCTAAGCTACCCGTTCATCAGTTTTCCCAAATGAAACAGCAAAGGGGTAGTGGGGCTGGGGAAGGGGGGGATGAGCAGGTCGTAGGGGCGGTGGGGGCTGAAGCACAGAGGGCTCATATACACTGCTGTGCGGGGGCCGTGGCAGGGCTCGTGTGGGACTCGAGAAGGCTCCCGCGTGTCCTTTGGTGTTTTCATTTGATTGAAATTCACGTGACATCAAACTGTCTTAAGTGGACAATTGAGTGGCATTTAGTAGATTCACAGTGGTGTGCAAACGCCACCTCTATCTAGTTCCAGAACATTCTTACCCCTCCAAAAGGAGACCCCGCCCCAGCAGCAGTCACTCCCCTTCCCTCCCCTCCCCCAGCTCTTGGTGGCACCCGTCTGCTTCTTGTCTCTGTGGATTCGCCTGTTCCGGGCGTTTCACGTCAGCAGTCAGACACCACACGGCCTTTTGTGTCTGGTTCTTGCACCGACTGTCGTGTTCGAGGTCGTAGTGTGCGTGTGAACCTCAAGGCCAATGGGCCACGTCCCCACCTCTGCTCTCCCCGCAGCACGGCCGACAAGAACGGGGCCCTCAAGTGCACCTTCTCGGCGGCCGGCCACAGCACCAGCCTCCTGCAGGGCCTGGCCACCCTCCGCGCCCAGGGCCAGCTCCTCGATGTCGTGCTGACCATCAACAGAGAGGCCTTTCCTGCACACAAGGTCGTCCTGGCCGCCTGCAGCGACTACTTCAGGTAAGCGCTGGGCGCAGGGAGCTGGGAGGGCAGGCCGCCTGTGGGGACAGGGCAGACAGAACCCACCTTCTAAAGCGGGTCTATCTCAGCACCATCCAGGGACAGCTTCGAGGGAGAATGGCTGGTGCCGGCTCTCGAATGTTTATTTTATTTTTTTTTTTATTTATTTTTTTTTTGAGACAGAGTTTCCCTCTTGTTACCCAGGCTGGAGTGCAATGGCGTGATCTTGGCTCACCGCAACCTCTGCCTCCTGGGTTCAGGCAATTCTCCTGCCTCAGCCTCCTGAGTAGCTGGGATTACAGGCACGCGCCACCATGCCCAGCTAATTTTTTGTATTTTTAGTAGAGACGGGGTTTCACCATGTTGACCAGGATGGTCTCGATCTCTTGACCTCGTGATCCACCCACCTCGGCCTCCCAAAGTGCTGGGATTACAGGCTTGAGCCACCGCGCCCGGCCTCGAATGTTTATTTTTGAGATGGAGTCTCACTCTGTTGCTCAGGATGGAGTACAGTGGCGCGATCTCGGCTCACTGCAAACTCCGTCTCCTAGGTTCAAGTGATTCTCTGCCTCAGCCTCCCGAGTAGCTGGGAACCCAGGCACCCACCACCACATCCAGCTAATTTTTTGTATTATTAGTAGAGATGGGATTCACCATGTTGGGCAGGCTGGTCTCGAACTCCTGACCTCGTGATCCACCCGCCTCGGCCTCCCAAAGTGTTGGGATTACAGGCGTAAGCCACCGTGCTCGGCCTCTTCTGATTTTAGAGAGAGGTCAATGTCCAGTAAACCTGCAGATTTTCCCCGGTTTGCATCTTACTCTCTTTGGGCAGACATGCCTGGGGGGATAGAGATGGCCCGTGGACAACCTCACTTCTGCCCTGTGGACTGGCAGGGTTTGGCCAGGCTTTTGATCTGTCTTTACTTGACACCTGCTGTATGCCAGGCAGTCTTCTAGGCCTTGGGATCCAGCAGGGATGAAAGAGTGAAACCGGCATAAGCCCCCGCCATTAGGGCACCCCTCAGGACACCTGGAGCGGGACAGCTGGGGGACTGGAGGGGCATCGAAGACCACAGGGACCCCGTCTCTGCTAACGCTGTGTCCTGGGCTCTGTCTGAGGCCCACATGAGCTCTCCTCGCTGTTGCCCTGAGCTGTGGGCACTTCCACCATGTGACAGAGAAGGCCATGGCGGGCACATGGGTCTGTCTGTCTGTCCCTGTGCCATGGCCGGGCCAGAGCGAGAACACCACAGAACAGGGCTGTGGGGTAGGGGATGTGTTCTCCTTGCCACCTGGGGGCTGTTACAGGGCTGGGTGGTCTTCCTCCCTGGGTGACCAGCAGGCGAGCCTCCTTCCTGCCAGGCAGTGACCCCGCCAGAGAGAGCTGGGCCACCCTGGGGCAGTTCCCAGGCCCCAGCCCAGGTGTGCACCTCGCCCGCGTGTTCCCCAAGGCCCGGGCCGCCTGCCCCGTGGGCTCAACGAGGCTGTTGTGGGGGCCGCGGCAGGCGAGCCAACTGGGGCGCCGCTTCTATTTTTATTCTGGATTTGGGGACGGGTGGGCCAGCCCAGCCAGCAATGCCCTTTAAAGGCTCCCCTGCGCTGGCACGGCAGCCGGCAAGGCCTTAAAAGGCAAAGCTCCCTCCTGTCGCCCGAGACCGCCTCTGCCTTCATCGCATCATGCCCGAGGGCCAGCGGGGACCCATGGGGACAAGCAGGGCAGGGTCTGGGGAGCTGGCAGCGTGCTGCTCCTGGACCGCACGGAGACGCTGAGGAGAGGCTCACTGGGCAGATGTCAGTGAGCGGCTCTGAGGCAGCACCCTGGCCACTGTTCTTGCCCCTGTAGCCCGGAGCCTGGCCCACGTGAGGCGCAAGATGAGAGGACGGACCTCTGTGGGGCAAATGCCCAAGGGACCTTCCCTCCTCCTCGGGTGGCCATCAGGGGAGGTGCACAGGCGGGAGTAAGAGTTATTGTGTCATGCCAGCGCACCTCCTGCACCCTAAAAGCTGTAGGGGCACTGCGACCTACAGGCCTGTGCCTCCTCACTGCCCTCCCTCATGAGGACCTGTATCCCCTCCCCACTCATGTTAGCTCTGCTTCCCAGAGCAGAACAGTACAAGGGTGGAGCTGGCATCTCACTGGAGGGTGGGGACATAGCTGTTGGGTGGGAGGCACTTCCCCAACCACCTTCGTCTCTGGAGACAGCAGTCACTCCGGTACAGCCTCCTGGGACCCTCGTTACCCTGCCCTCTTCACTTGATGGCTGTTGAGACTCAGGCTGGGTACGGCAGAGCTGCCTGCTTCGGTCAGCGAGCAGGCGAGGGCGGAACCGTGGTGCCTGGCACCTCCAGAGTGCGAGTCTTGCAGCTCCTGAGCGCAGGTGTCAGGTGGGGCTGCAGATCTGTCCCCAGAGCCACAGGGTATGTTGTCATCCTGCACTGCCATACCTGGCCCCTTTAACCACCCCACCGCCAGGCACATGGTGGGTGAGGCTGACCCAGCCTCCACTCCTGCAGCTCTGACATGATCTAGTCATGAAGGAGCTCAGGCAGGGCCCCTGCAGAGGGGCCAAGCAGGGAGCTGCTGTTTATAGGAAGATGCATGGCTTGGGTGGATTCAAAATCTGTCTTTTTTTTTTTTTTAATTTAGATGGAATCTTGTTCTTGTTGCCCAGGCTGGAGTGCAGTGGCACGATCTTGGCTCACTGAAACCTCCGCCTCCCCGGTTCAAGCAATTCTCCTGAGTAGCTGCAATTACAGGAACGTGCCACCATGCCTGGCTAATTTTTGTATTTTTAGTAGAGACCAGGTTTCACCATGTTGGCCAGGCTAGTCAAACTCCTGACCTCAAGTGATCCACCTGCCGGGGCTTCCCAAAGTGCTGGGATTACAGGCGTGAGCCATGGCATCCCACCTCTGCATGTTTTTAATGAGCCTCTGGCCTGCTTTTCTCTTGCTGGCTGTGCCCTGCGTTCTGTGTCCTGGGGCCACTGTTCCCGAGGCTGTTATCATTCCCAGCTGGTCACAAGGCCCCTTAGCCACTGCGAGCTACAAGCTGTGTTTCCACTCTTCAGGGCCATGTTCACCGGTGGCATGCGGGAGGCGAGCCAGGACGTCATCGAGCTAAAGGGCGTGTCGGCCCGCGGCCTGCGGCACATCATCGACTTTGCCTACAGCGCCGAGGTGACCCTGGACCTGGACTGCGTGCAGGATGTGCTGGGTGCCGCTGTGTTCCTGCAGATGCTGCCCGTGGTGGAGCTGTGCGAGGAGTTCCTGAAGGCGGCCATGAGCGTGGAGACCTGCCTCAACATCGGCCAGATGGCCACCACCTTCAGCCTGGCCTCGCTGCGGGAGTCAGTGGACGCCTTCACCTTCCAGCACTTCCTGCAGATCGCGGAGGAGGAGGACTTCCTGCGCCTGCCGCTCGAGCGCCTGGTCTTCTTCCTGCAGAGCAACCGGCTGCAGAGCTGCGCTGAGATCGACCTGTTCCGAGCTGCGGTCCGCTGGCTGCAGCACGACCCTGCCCGGCGGCCGCGCGCCAGCCACGTGCTCTGCCACATCCGCTTCCCGCTCATGCAGTCCTCCGAGCTGGTGGACAGCGTGCAGACGCTGGACATCATGGTGGAGGACGTGCTGTGCCGCCAGTACCTGCTGGAGGCCTTCAACTACCAGGTGCTGCCCTTTCGGCAGCACGAGATGCAGTCGCCGCGCACCGCCGTGCGCTCGGACGTGCCCTCGCTGGTGGCCTTTGGCGGCACGCCCTACACCGACAGCGACCGCTCGGTCAGCAGCAAGGTATACCAGCTGCCCGAGCCAGGCGCCCGCCACTTCCGCGAGCTCACGGAGATGGAGGTGGGCTGCAGCCACACGTGCGTGGCCGTGCTAGACAACTTTGTGTACATGGCCGGGGGCCAGCACCTACAGTACCGCAGCGGCGAGGGCGCGGTGGACGCCTGCTACCGCTACGACCCACACCTGAACCGCTGGCTGCGCCTGCAGGCCATGCAGGAGAGCCGGATCCAGTTCCAGCTGAACGTGCTGTGCGGCATGGTGTACGCCACGGGCGGCCGCAACCGGGCCGGCAGCCTGGCCTCCGTGGAGCGGTACTGCCCACGGCGCAACGAGTGGGGCTATGCCTGCTCGCTCAAGCGCCGCACCTGGGGCCATGCTGGGGCCGCCTCCGGGGGCCGCCTGTACATCTCGGGCGGCTACGGCATCTCAGTGGAGGACAAGAAGGCCCTGCACTGCTACGACCCCGTGACCGACCAGTGGGAGTTCAAGGCGCCCATGAGCGAGCCCCGTGTGCTGCACGCCATGGTGGGCGCCGGCGGCCGCATCTATGCCCTCGGGGGCCGCATGGACCACGTGGACCGCTGCTTCGACGTGCTGGCTGTGGAGTACTACGTGCCCGAGACGGACCAGTGGACCAGCGTGAGCCCCATGCGAGCCGGCCAGTCAGAGGCGGGCTGCTGCCTGCTGGAGAGGAAGATCTACATCGTCGGGGGCTACAACTGGCGGCTCAACAACGTCACGGGCATCGTGCAGGTGTACAACACGGACACCGATGAGTGGGAGCGGGACCTGCACTTTCCGGAGTCCTTCGCGGGCATCGCCTGTGCCCCGGTCCTGCTGCCCCGGGCCGGGACCAGGAGGTAGCCCCCCAGACCCCCGGGACCCTGGCCTGACCACATGCTGTCTCCAAGCCGGGCTTGGCAGAGCACGTCTGCCTGAGAACCCCATTGCCCCTGTTTGCCTGGGCTGCCCTGGAGAGGCCTGCCCTGTGGATGTGTGGATAAGTGCTCCTCCCAGGGTGGCCTCCCTCCCTCCATCCCTTCCCAAAGCAGATCCTGGCTCCAAGTCCACCTGAGCGAGCCTGCCCCAAAGCAGCCAACGAGCCAGTTGTGGCAGCAAACTTGTCCCCGGGGCAATTTCCTTGCCTGCAGGCTGGCGGATGGAATCCCAGGTCTCCAGGGGGTCCCTGTGCAGCTCCGCAGCAGTCCTCTGCCCCCCTCCCAGCCCCACGGTTTCAGGCATTCAGATGTGAGCTCATCACCGTTGAACCTAAAGTCGGTGGTATGCGACTCACCCTCCTTCCAAGTCTCCTGCACACGTGTTTTTAAAATAAACTCGCCCAAAACCTCCAAAACACACAGACCCCCCAGAAGCAGTGAGAGGCGGCTTGGAAGCCCTTGGTTTGGGGTGGATGGAGGACCAGGGCACGTGCCTGTCTTTGCTGGGGTGCCCTCCTTCCCCCATCCCGAGCTGCTGAGGGGAGGCTCTGGTCATGCCTCCATTTCTGTCATCGTCTGCCTTCAGGAGGAAAAACCATGTCAACTCCTAGGAACAGTCCTTATGGGCCTTGGGCCTTCCGTTTGGCACAGAGCATCTTGTGCAGCCTTCACTGGCCGAGACATCCCGCCCGGCCCTCTGCACTTGCCCTGTTGGCCGGGCAGTCCCCTTCCTGCAGCTGGAGGGGGACGCTGACTTCAGAATTCCACAGTGTCGCCTCCCGCAGGTCAGCTAGGTGGTGTTTATTCTCCTCCCTCCTCCATTTCCCCCTCTGCACCCTGCCACTCCCTGGCCTGCCCTGTTTCCAGGTCAACATTGCTACCAAGCCGGCAGTGAGGCCTTTCCCTTCTCAAGGGCTCTGCGGCATCTCTGGCCACATTTGTTTTAATGTCTGAACCTCTAAAGCTTTTCTTTTTAATTTGTTTTACTTTTTATTTTAAGAAGCCAGCCCCGCTGTCTCATAGATGGGATTTGTACTCTCGGGGCAACTTAAAGTGTCTCTCTCGCTGCTCACAGACAATTGATGTCTTGTCGCTGTGACCCGCTCACCGTGTAAAGAATCTCCTATCTTAGCAGACGCCGTCTCCTAATATTTCCCTTTATTTAATAAAAATGTTATGGTGAAGAGATGGAGCAGGCCCAGCACTGAGCTTGTGCGGCTGGGGCTGATTGGTCACAGATTCCTCGTGTGTCCTCCGCATGTCTGGGGGCTCCTCTCCTCCGCCTCAGCCTTTTCCAGCCTTGCAGAGGAGCTGGCGGGGGCTGGGCTTTGGCTCAGGGGCACAGGAGCAGCAGGAAGTGTGGCCAGAACTTCCACCCTGGCACTTTTTTTTGAGATGGAGTCTTGCTCTGTTGCCCAGGCTGGAATGCAGTGGCTTCATCTTGGCTCACTGCAACCTCCACCTCCCAGGTTCAAGTGATTCACTTGCCTCAGCCTCCCAAGTAGCCAGTATTACAGATGCCCACCACCACACCCAGCGAATTTTTGTATTTTTAGTAGAGACGGGATTTCACCATCTTGGCCAGGCTGGTCTTGAACTCCTGACCTCAAGTGAGCTGCCTGCCTCAGTTTCCCAAAGTGCTGGGGTTACAGGCGTGAGCCACGGTGCCCGGCCCACCTTGGCACTTTGGAAGAGGCTTCAGCCCCCTACTCTCATCGTGGCTGGCCAAACCGCGAAGCAGGCTGCCCAGAGTGGGCCACTTACCAGTTGCAGGTTAGCCGAGAAAGCCTTATGTTCCCAGAGGGCCTTCCCAGAGGGGGGCCCTGGGATTCACACATGCGTGGATCTGCATAAGTTGCTGCGCCCGCATGCCTGGCAGTCCTGTGTGGCGGCCATCGGGGCTAGGGTAACACCAGGGGCTGCGGGGGTGGGCAGTGCTAAATTAGGAACGTGGATGGGAGCCTAAAAGAAGCCCACACCGTCAGGGACATCCAAAGGAAAGTCCTCGGGGACTTACCAGAACATTCCAGCCCCCGCCCCCGACCTGAGCTCCCCCAGAGAACCCTTCCCCACTGGAGGCACGGCCCCTTCAGGGGGGCAGTGAGAAGCTTTGCCAGCCGCAAGTCCCCCGGATCAGCTCACACCTCAGAACATCTTGTCCCCAACGAGCTGGCAGGGGCGCCGGCCCAGGGCGGGGAGTGCTGCCGTATCTAACTGGATCGATTGTGCATAACTGTCTGGGTCGGTTCATGGAATGTTCTTGGGGCCCCCTGCCCCTCCCTCAGCCTCCCCCCCCCGCATCCCCCCAAGAAAGGAAAATTATTTTTCGTATTGTAAACTTTAAACACGAAAAAGCTGTTTTTAATTTAGCAGAAACTGGCTTGAATCTTCACTTTGTGAACGTTTGTGTCCTTCAGAGAAAGAACACGCCTGTGCACACTCGTACACGCTCAGGCACACACCTGCACACTCATGCCGCAACGTGCACATTCACACGGCCGTGCTCCTGCACGCCTGCATGCACGTGCTCGCCCATGCAACGTGTTCACATGCTTGCCCGCACATGGTGAGATGCAAGCTCGCACATATGCCCGCACACACATCTGTGCACGCACCCCTGGACCAGCGTAGCCAACTCTGCCTGGTGGCCCAGAGGGGTCTGGAGCCCGGCAACGCCCCGAGCCTGGGGGAAGCCTGTCTGCTTCCAGACGCCCTGTCTCCTCGCTGAGGCCTGGACGCCGGCCGCAGGAGCCTCCCTCGCACCTGGGCTCGGGCTGTGGGAAAACGCCGTCTCTCGGGACGGTCGGATGCAGGCCCGCAAGAGGGAGGCCAAGTGTGACTTCTGGGGCCTCTCAGCAAGCGAGGGCCAAGGGGGCCTCTGGGGAGCCGTATGAGGTGGGAATCCGCCCCGGACCTGGCCAGCTTGGAAACCCGCCCCTGGCTCCATCTCCGAGGAAGCAGCTCCAGCTCGTCCGTTCTCACAGGCCCTGGAGATTCGCTTTGCACGGTGCAGGCTCAGGGCTCTGCTCTTCCTCGGGGTGTCTGGCCATGGATCCCAGCGGCCCAGTGCCTAACACAGAGCATGGCACAGACAGGGCACAGCTCGAATGTTTACTGCACAAAAGAGAGGTTCTGGGCTGGGAAGGTGAGGGCAGCCTTCACGCTAGTGCCTGTGGGCAAACCTCGAGGAAGGAGGGCACTAAGCCGTGCTCCGCCCCCAACAAGGCCCCTGCTTCATCCTCATCTTCCTGTTGCGCTCATTCTGGTGGCCAGCCTGGCAGCCATTCCTCCCTCCTCACCAGCAGAGCCCTGATTTGGTGCCAGCAGCAACGTGCCCAGCCTCCGGGGTTAAGATTCAGCTGAGCTGTTCTTGGCAATGCCTTTTGCCGGGGTTGTTTGCAATCTGGGCATGTTTCCCAGCTCTGGCCAGCAACCTTGAAGGGGTCGGGTGTTTCTGGACAAGGGAGAGGCCTTGTTGCCCCCTTCCCTCCCTCACTGCTTATGAGGACACAATGCCAGGGGCTTCTGCAGCCATCTTGTGGCCAGGAGGAGCAAGTTAAGCGAGCACACTCACAGGCTGGGTGCGGTGGCTCACGCATGTAATCCCAGAGCTTTGGGAGGCTGAGGCAGGATGATCACTTGAGTCCAGGAGTTCAAGACCAGCCCTAGTGATACAGTGAGACCATCTCTAAAAAAAAAAAAAAAAAAAATTGCTGGCCCTGGTAGCACACATGCATGTAGTCCCAGCTACTAGGGGAGGCTGAGGTGGGAGGATCACCTGAGCCCAGGAGTTCTAGGGTGTAAGGAGCTGTGACTGCATCACTGCATTTTTTTTTTTTTAGTGCACCACTGTTTTTCTGATCCTGGTTTTCTAGCCGCCTCATCACTTCTGTGAGCTACCAAACAATTTTTTGATTTTTTTTTTGAGATGGAGTCTCACTCTGTCACCCAGATTGGAGTGCAGTGGCGCCATGTCAGTTCACTACAGCCTTTGCCTCCCAGATTCAAATGATTCTCCTGCCTCAGCCTCCCGAGTAGCTGGGATTACAGGTGCACGCCACTATACCTGACTGATTTTTGTTTTTTTGGTACAGATGAGGTTTTGCCATGTTGGCCAGGCTGGTCTCTAACTCCTGACTTCAAGTCATCTGCCTGCCTTGGCTTCCCAAAGTGCTGGGATTACAGGTGTGAGCCACCATGCCCAACCTTTTTAATTTTTTTTAAATAGAGACAGAGTCTCACTTTGTCCAGGCTGGTTTTGAACTCCTGAGCTCAAACAATACACCTGCCTTGGCCTCCCAAAGTGCTAGGATTATAGGTGTGAGCCACCGTGCCTGGTCAACCAACCAGTTTTGCAGTATGCACATTGGCTATTTAAATTGTCCAGGCTGCACACAGCAGCTCATGCCTGTAATCCCAACACTTCGGGAGACTGTGGCTGGCAGATCACTTGAGGTCAGGAGTTCAAGACCAGCCTGGCCAACAGGGTGAAACCCCGTCTCTACTAAAAATACAAAAATTAGCCAGGCGTGGTGGTGGGTGACTTTAATCCCAGCTACTCAGGAGGCTGAGGCAGGAGACTGGCTTGAACCTGGGAGGTGGAGGTTGCCGTGAGCTGAGATTGCACCACTGCACTCTAGCCTGGGCAACAGAGCAAGACTCCATCTCAAAAATAAATAGATAGGTAGATAAATAGATAGATAGTCTAACGTCAGCTTCTGTTGCTTGCAAGTAAAAAGCCTGACTTACATAAGATGGGAAAACCCCAGCAACTGTCATATTTATAACTTCAGAACTGCTTGGTGACAAGCATAGCGGGCCATTAGTGTCTTTGGCAGTGCAGACATTATTTCTCATAACAAGAAGGCTGGAGGTCAGAGGTGCTGGGATGTCATGACTGGCGGCCCGGGATTTTGGGGGGTGGGGGCACAACTATGCCTCTTTCTCTCTCTCTCTCTCTTTTTTTGTTTAGAGACTGTATTCCCAGCACTCAGGGAGGCTGAGGCAGGTGGATCTCTTGAGCCCATGAGTTGGAGACCAGCAACACACCAAAACCCTGTCTCTACAAAAAAATTGAAAAACTAGCCTGACATGGTGGTGGGCACCTGTAGTCCCAGCTGCACGGGATGGTGAGGTGAGCATGGCTTGAGCCCCGTAGGTCAAGGCTGCAGTGAGCTGTGATTGTGCCATTGCACTCCAGCCTGGGTAACACAGTGAGACCGTGTCTCAATAAAAAAAAAAAGAAAACAAGGGCCGGGCGCGGTGGCTCTATAATCCCAGCACTTTGGGAGGTCGAGGCGGGTGGATCGTGAGGTCAAGAGATCGAGACCATCTGGTCAACATGGTGAAACCCCGTCTCTACTAAAAATACAAAAATTAGCTGGACATGGTGGCGCATGCCTGTAGTCCCAGCTACTCGGGAGGCTAAGGCAGGAGAATTGCTTGAACCCAGGAGGCGGAGGTTGCGGTGAGCCGAGATCGCGCCATTGCACTCCAGCCTGGGTAACGAGCAAAACTCCATCTCAAAAAAGAGAAAAAAAAGAAAACAGTAGAATCAAAGGGGTGAGGCAGCTAGGCCTTCAGCTGAAATTATGCCAGAGGACGAAGCTGCCACCACTGCAGAATCTAGACGCCGTCGTTGGCACTGCCATCTGCCCTGGGCACTCAGCCACAGCTGCCCCTGGAAAACAGATGGCCCTGCCCCGATGCTGTTTCTCTGTAGCAGGTTTGTGCCTGCATGGAAACATCCCAGTGGTCCAGCCATCCCCTAGCTGTCTGGGGAGTGGGGAAAGTGAGTACATTAGTGTGTATTAGTCAGCCACTGCTGTGCGACAAACACCCCCAAGTCTCAATGACATAAAACAGTGAGCATTTGTTTTTCACAGGTCTGTGAGTCAGCAGAAGGGGCGCCTGCTCTAGGCTGGCCTCGGCTACGATGCTCTACTTCCAGGGACAAGGATGCAGAGTGGCCCAGAGGCCCTGCTCCATGGGTTCTTGCATCCTGCTGGGACAGCTGCTAGCCAGGGCATACTTTCCTCCTGCAGGTGTGTGAGGACAAGTGGAATCACTTGAGGCCTCGTAGGGTCTCAATTCAGGACTCATACACCATCACATCTGCCCGTAAGTCTTTTTTCTTTTGAGATGCAGTCTCGCTCTGTCACCCAGGATGGAGTGCAGTGGCACAGTCGTGGCTTACTGCAGCCTCAACACCCTGGGCTCAAATGATACTCCCACCTCAGCCTCCCAAGTAGCTAGGACTATAGGCACATGCCACCAAGGGCAGCTTGCTTGCTTGCTTATTTGTTTATTTATTTATTTATTTGAGACAGAGTTTCATTCTGTCACCCAGGCTGGAGTGCAGTGGTGCAATCTCAGCTCACTACCACCTCTACCTCCCAGGTTCAAGCAATTCTCCTGCCTCTGCCTCCTAACTGGGATTACAGGTGTGTGCCACCACGCCAGGTTAATTTTTGTATTTTTAATAGAGACGGAGTTTCATGTTGGCCAGGCTGGTCTCGAACTTCTGGCCTCCCTCAAGTGATCCACCCACCTTGGCCTCCCAAAGTGCTGGGATTACAGGCATGTGTTGAGCCACTACGCCTCACCTGTCCATAAGTCTTTGGCTAAGCAAATGACATGGCTGAGCCCCACATCAGGAGTGGGGAAGTGTCTTCCACCTGGAAGGCAGAACTGCAGAGGGCAGGGATGCAGGAACAGGTGGGAACCGGGGCCAGTAATTCGATGGGTCGCCCTTGGTTTGGAGGCTTCTCTTATTAGGAGAGTGACCAATTTCCCCCTGTGGGGGGACTCCCCAAACTTGGATGGGGACCCAGATTTTGGCAACCAAAAAGCAAAGCCTGCTCAGCATCTCCTTAGCAGCCACTGCCCCCTGGAGGTTGAGGGATCCCACTTTTTTTTTGGTTTCAGGTGAGTCAGGGCTGTGAGTATCCCAGGCTCTTGGACAGCAGGACCAGTGTCTGGATATGGGGATGTCAGTGGGGCCTTGGCCAAGTTTCAGGGCATGGGGACTGCAGGTGTCACTGGGAGCCTGCCTCAGTCTCACTATGTTGCCCAGGCTGGTCTCGAACTCCTGAGCTCAAGCAATCCTCTGGCCTCTGCCTCCCAAAGTGCTGAGAATACGGGCATGAGCCACTGCACCGGCCATGCAACCAGTTTTACAACACACACTTCAGCTATCTACGCCTCAGCACAGGTGGCTGGGCCCCTAGATTTGAGCCCTGGGTCCCCTGCCTCTCCAGTTCCAGCCTCTCCCTACCCTCCTTGACAGCCCACCTCGTTCCACCCTCCACCTACCACTCAAGCCTGGGTGGGAGGACGAGGTGCCTGGGTCCTCCTGTAACCTTATTGT